ATAATAATAATAATAATAATAATAATAATTTATACCCTTCTTTTTCTCTCAGAAAAAGAGTCTCAAAGCAGATTACAGTAAAACCAATACAATACAATTTTAAAATACAAATTTAAACTTTAAAATAGAATGAAATATTAATGGCATTAAAAAATAAGCAGTTAAACCCCTTGAAACCAATTCAAAACCTAAGCTAAAACCACAGCACCTATTATAAACTATTGCAATTATATGAAAATAATGTAAAGCAGTAACAAAGCAAAATAATTCTTTTATAGAGTAATCAGAGATATTCAAAATGATGGCACATAAGTAGTAAAGCATTCACAAACAAGCCACAGATTTCAAAGCCTCTTTTCTCCTAATGCAGTATTTACTTGGCACATCCTCGTTTTTATAGCAAGATACATCTATTAAAAATGGCTGACATCATTATGTGTTTCTGATATCTGAAAATAGTTTAATTTTTCACAGAAACACAAAACTTCAGAATAGAACTTGGTTCTTGTCTCCAGTGCCTAAATTCTACAAGTTCTGTAGGATTTCAGCTTAGATGAGTCACATTTTGTATGTTGTTCATATGAAATAAATCTAATCCTAAATTAATTGTTAATATGTTGCATTTGAATGTGCAGGTTTACACCCACCAAAATCCCCAAAGTGAGATATGAACTAACAGATTCTGCTTTGCTGGCTGCATCAGTTTCTCCACCACCTCCTGTTCCAGTAAGTGCCTTGTTTTAGTTTTGCTAAGTCAAAGCCTTTACAGTTTCTCAGTCTAATAAAGGAGCGGAAACTGTGTTGTTTTCTAGATGTTGGACTATATTTTCCAGTAGCCCATCCCACCAAGTTATGGGAGTAGCAATTCAGCAATATCTGAAGGGCGACATATTACACTCTCTGTGTGTGCATATGTATGTTTGCTTGCCAACTTATGAATGCTCCATGAATGTCATAGGAGGTTTTTTTTGTTCCTTAGGCAAGGAATACTCAGAGGTGGTCTTGCAAGTTTTTTTGAAATATAGGTCACAGTAACTATTATTTATTGGTGGTCTCTTATTTATTTATTTATTTATTTATTTATTTATTTATTTCACATATTTGTATCCTGTCCTTCTCACCTTGGAGGGGGACTCACAACAGGCACTCATTCAATGCCAACAACAGTAATATATGATAATAGCAATTTAAACAATTCATTAAAGCAATTAATTACTAAAACATTTGTTTAAAATCACACAGGTTTAAAATTTTATCCAAGTACTAACCAGGGCTGCTTAACTTCCTGATAAAATATGCTGTATGGTTTGAGTGAGATTGTATGAAAGGCGTACGAATGCGGCCCAATTGGGCTGAAGATACCATTCTAAGGAATGAGGCCTGGAAAACTACAAGCCAGAGGCAAAGAACTCATGGACTAATTAAAAATTGCTGATGAGATTTAGACAAATGATTAACTGTTGACATTCTGACTTGATGAACTCTTGGTGGAAAAATAACTTGTTTACATTGCCAAAGACAATGGTTCTTTTAAGTAAGGAAATCAACACTGTGGCTCCTTACAGAAATTTTTACAAGCCTCCTTGATAAGGAAAGCCAATTCAACAAAATCAACATCTGTTCAGGAACTGATGGAATTTGTCTGTCAGTAATTTACAACTTCAGAACCACATCAACCGAAAATACTACATAAAAGGATCCTTCTCTCTCAGTGTCAGTGTGTCCGACCAACTGAACACAATTTCTGAACACCATTGTGAACAGCCGTGTCCTCTCAAGAAGCTGATCATCTTCAACAAGAAGACTGGTAAGAATGCTTGATGAATGAATGATGAATGATTGAATGTTAGAGTATATGTGTAAATGTTGATGCAATATTCCCCTTTGTCTATGTAACCAATATCTATATATATATATAAATGCTCTGTGCATAATGAGTACCTTAAAAACAAAAGAACCAATGAACAAAATCACACCAAATTTGGCAACAAAACGTCTCACAACACAAGGAGTGACCATCATTCAAAAATTATGATTTTGTCATTTGGGAGTTGTAGTTGCTGGGATTTATAGTTCACCTACAATCAAAGAGCATTCTGAACTCCATCAACAATGGAACTGAACCAAACTTGGCACATATAACTCCCATGACCAACAGAAAATACTGGAAGGGTTTGGTGGGCATTGACCTTGAATTTGGGAGTTGTAGTTCACCTACATCCAGAGAGCACTGTGGACTCAAACAATGATGGATCTGGACCAAACTTGGCACAAGCACTCAATACGCCCAAATATGAACACAGATGGAGTTTGGGGAAAATAGACCTTGACATTTGGGAGTTGTAGTCACTGGGATTCACAGTTCACCTACAATCAAAGAGCATTCTGAACCCCACGAACGACAGAATCGGGCAAACTTCCCATACAGAATCCCCATGATCAACAGAAAATACTTAAGGCCATCCAATCCAACTCCCTTCATCAGAGCAAGAAAATGTAATCAAAGTCCTCCTGACAAAGAGCCATCCAGCCATAGATAGATATAGATAGATAGATGAGATAGATAGATAGATAATTAGATAAATAGTCAAACAGTGATGGCTCTTGTTAAGGCCTTTGATCCTGCCTATGACATGAGATCATATCATCATCCAAGATGGCCAAGGCTTCCAGATACCACAGTAGGGTCTTCTCAGGGGTGAATATTGCCACTATGAATGTTAGACAGGCACCAATTCTAAACAGCTGTTTGTGGTTGTTGAAAACAACCCTTTCCTAATGGGCCTATGATTAGAAACTTGGTCTATATATTAAACCAAGAACAAGTAATGTCCTAAGGGTTGAGGGGAATTACATGACCTCTTTCCATTCCTCCACCTTATCATCATCATCCTCATAATTTACATATTATTTTTTCATCTCCATGTGACTGTTGTGCCCTCCAGCCTAGACTACGCCAGGAAGGGCAAAAGTATGTCAACATTGATTTCAGGGGACATTTGAGTAAAAGATTCTTTAACATTTATTAATAAAAATATTGTTTAAACTCCCCATGGGCTGCAAAAAATGTCTTGGGGAAATGCATGTTGCTTGCATGCACATTTATCCCATTTTTATCGAAGCCAGAGATACGTGATAGTATATCTATGGAATTGTTCATAGTAACTGGACATGTGTTTTTATTGGTGACACTATCCACCATATGTTTTTACTCATCCTTGAAGTATTTCATGATGGAATGCACAATACAAATGTTACAAGTAAATGAATAAATGAGTGCCCACTTCAGAATGTCGTATAAGGAACCATTGGTATATTCTGTTTTTCCATATTAACTACAGCTGAGGCCCAAGTGGTAGTGGCTCATGCAGATAGAGCTCTGCATGAGCCACAAGCAACACGAGAAAGCCAGGAATTGGAACAGGACTAATCAAGTGTAATTAAAGTAACAGTACTTGCAAGTGAAAAGAACTGATAGAGCTCTGCTTGAGCCACAACATAAGATAAGCAACACAAGAAAGCCTTGAATTGGAGCAGGACTGAGCAAGTGTAATTAAAGAAACAGCAATACATCTATATAAACATAAGAGAAGATTTTGAGACCACGGATTATATGAAGAAAATGTCATACATCAAAAGTTTGTTATAGACAATTGACAACCTGAAGAAGGATCCCCGAAACAAGAATATTGTACCCGGGATTACTTATTGTTGTGTTATCATATAATCCTGACAGTTGTGTTATGTATATGAATCTGACATTTGTACTGTTCTCCTTTTGAGATTTATGTAGACTATGTTTAGGAGTTACAATATAGTAATAATTAGAACCCATTTGGGACTGTCAAGCAAGACCAATTCTTGAATTCTCAATTTCTATTGAAACCATTTTCATTACATTGAATCATAGAATCAAAGAGTTGGAAGAGACCTCATGGGCCATCCAGTCCAACCCCCTGCCAAGAAGCAGGAATATTGCATTCAAATCACCCCTGACAAATGGCCATCCAGCCTCTGCTTAAAAGCTTCCAAAGAAGGAGCCTCCACCACACTCCGGGGCAGAGAGTTCCACTGCTGAACGGCTCTCACAGTCAGGAAGTTCTTCCTAATGTTCAGATGGAATCTCCTCTCTTGTAGTTTGAAGCCATTGTTCCGTGTCCTAGTCTTCAAGGAAGCAGAAAACAAGCTTGCTCCCTCCTCCCGGTGGCTTCCTCTCACATATTTATACATGGTTATCATATCTCCTCTCAGCCTTCTCTTCTTCAGGCTAAACATGCCCAGTTCCCTAAGCCGCTCCTCATAGGGCTTGTTCTCCAGACCCTTGATCATTTTAGTCACCCTCCTCTGGACACATTCCAGCTTGTCAATATCTCTCTTGAATATCTATATTGCAATATAGATATTTGTGCATAATAGATAGGTAGTTTCTAGGGGACCACTTTTGCCCATGTGCCTATAGTGAAGAAGAAAAGCAGAGAACAGAATAAAAAGAAATAAATTCTTTTGAGCACAGCAGCGCTTCCACTGCTTGCCATGTAAGTGAGCCCTGAGAACAACTTCAGGTCTGTGCCTTGCTAGTAAACAGCCTACATAGATTATCTCCTGCAGATGCTGCTTGAAAACATTGCTCCAATGCATTCTCAAAATAAATTATATTTGCTGGAGGGACCATTTAAATGTTGTTTAAATCGTTTGTTTATAAAGATTTCCCAGATTACCCCAATATCACCATTACTTAGCAAAGTAATTACTCTGTATTTAATTTGCTTAGCAATTATACTATCAATTAAATATTTGCCTACATAATATACTCCTTGGCAAATGAATTAATTAGTATTAAATGTTAAGAAATGGCTGTTAAACAGCAGGCATAATGCTATAAAAGAATAGATTAGTCACATTGCTTTGCCACAATTAATAATTATTATATTAATTAAATAAATGCCAAACATTTGCCTTTCTCACTCTGAAATATTAGAGGATCAAATCAAATCTGGAAAGAGGATAATGTTTACTCAAAATGTTCACTACTCTGTACAGTCTTTCCTTTAGCGGGGTTGACTGAAAGAGCAAGAACATGGATGCATAGGTCTTGAACTGGTGTTACTCCAACATCTCTTACTTCTTATAGTCTCCCCAGAAGACAAATCTATTGAGCCAAAAAGTAGGCTGAGATGCAAGAAAACTTGGCTAAGGTTGAAACACTGTTCCCAGTCAAAACTGAGGTTAATCATAATAAAAGCTTTCTGCTCTTTTATCCTATTTTGTATTAGCTCAAACATTATTAACTAATGACTTTCTCCACAGGCAACTCAGCTCCAAGATTTCCATTCTGTGCGTAACCAAGCAATGGAGATGATTACACGGGCCTTTGCTTTGCTGGATTCTGAATTTCAAAAACTCGAAATGTAGGTATTCTGTGTCATTACCAAAATATTTGTTTGATGTAGTGCTTCATTGGGAAACATGGCTGGGCTGATTTTAATTGGGTGGGATCAGCATCTTTTTGGCACAAAAGTAATGAAATGCTCTTTACTGTATGTATAACATTTATTTGGGCAGGTAATTCTTCAGTTATTTTCTTCTCAAAGAAAGTAATGAAAAATTTTAGCATTTTTTCTCACTATGACAAAATTTTTGAAAACCATTTTTCAAAGGCTATTCACAGTTCTGGAATTTTTTTGGGTTAGAATCGCACATGGTTGTGTTGTTTCAGAAATGACATTTTTTACACAGAAATATCTCTGTGCAGACATATTATTTTTGCACAGAAAATGCTGCTTTCTATAGAAACCAACCACATGCAAATTTTGTAGAACATAAATCTCCATGTGCAGCATTTTCTACATGGAAGGTTATATTTTTTAGAGAAAAAAATACTTTCTGCACAAAAAATACAGTTTTCTGTGAAAAACAGCCACTTGTGAATTTTGTACAGAATAGGTTCTAAACATCCTTGTCAGTCCAGGATTCATCTTGCCAGTTTCTTAGCTCTTGAGAAACATGTTTTTAATCATTTTTAATATTTTCAAATCCCTACACCCTTTGAGACTTTAAAATATGAGAGAATCTCACTGCAACTAAAAATGTTTCACTGTATTAAATAATATATTTCCTTGGAATCTTAGTTATTTGAAACCAAGATGAGGCAGGAAATACTGGTCAGGTGATAGTAAAATAGGTAGAACTTATTTATGCAGAAACATTATTTAGGCAAAATGGAAATACAGATGATTGACACAAGTTGGTTCTAGAGTGACTTCTTCTACTGAAAAAGTGCTTCTTTCAATGGAAGAAGCTTTTCTATTAGAGAAATTTTCTCCATGTTTATTAATTTATTCATGCATTATAATATTTGCAGTATACATATATTATCCAATAATCAGTGTTGTCTGACCAGTTTACAGTAACCAGTAAGTAGAAAGTCTAAAGCAATTCAAAAGAATCAACTAGGCCTGGGTAACAACGGAAAAATTTGTTTCTAAAATCGATTTGTATTTGGGGGGTTTTTTTGTTTCAATATTTAAAATAATTACAAAATTTTCCTTTTAAAAAGTTCGATATTTACGAAATTTCGTAAATGGTAAAAAAATAACGAATCGATTTCCGAAACAATAACGAATCGATTCGTTAATGGCGGACGCGACCGCGAAATACGCTAAAAAACCTCCAAAACCTTCTGAAGCTTCCCTCTCCCTCTGTTGTTGACTGTTGGTGTGATATTATAATTTTTTTTCACTAATTAAACCATAAAACTGGCCCAGACATGCGGAAATAATAACAAAACGACCTTAAAACAATAACGAAACGAATACAATATCGAAATACGAAGCATTTACAAAACGTTTTTGAAAATTCATTTTTTTTAATAATTGCTCCAGAATGGTTCGTTATCGTTTTGTAATTGAAAAAATTAACGAATTATTAACGAATTACGAATTAACGAAACGAAACCGCCCAGCCCTAGAATCAACATCACAAAATTGGCACATGTTGATTTCAAGCTGAAGCTGGCTTTGCTTCCTACAAAAACATGTGAGTTGTAACCTTGTGGGGTTGATGGAGATTTTCTGCTTGAGAGCCTCAGCTGCTTCAACAGGAGGATGATTTCCAGGATTCCCTTGTGGGAGATACTATGACAAATCCTTTAAAACACGTTTGAATTCTCCAATGCCTCTGTTGGTCATTGTTGAAAAGTCAAATGAGTAAGCAGACAGAGGAAAATATTAAGCATTATCTCTTTAATGAAACATATTGTGGTAGTTGCAGTTGTTGATTTGCTTTCTTAAGAGTGGTAAGTTACAGCATATTGACATGTTCATCAGTATAGATTCTTGGAGACTTAGGTATTTATCTGTTGTTTAATAACTGTTTAATTTATATCAAGTGGTTGTTTAACCTGTACTAACGATAGGTACTGTCTTACCTTGGACATTCCAGGGTTTGTTTGTTTTTGTTTTGTTTTTTTGTTCTCTTTTTTTCACAAGGATTGACAGCTATTTTAGTACACTTATGTGGCTCTGTTTCTGCTATTAATGCTGTGAAACCATAGTGGCAGTGTCACCATGTCATATAGGGTTAGGCTAAATTATGAGTTAAAGCCACTCAATGCTAAAAGCAGGGGGACAAGAACAATGCTGCGCAGAGGTCACAATCATCATAAGGTCAGAAAAGTGTGTGTAGCTTGCAATATATGTACATCCCAACAGATTCCTGCTGTATAAAGTTCTGGGACACTTTCAAGTGCTTCAGTTTAGTGTTCTAGTTAAGGAGGGTCCTTTTTTTAAAAAAAATAATGCATTAACACATGGGATATGCTTATTTTAAAAAAATACTAAACTCATAGTTCGCTTTGGACCACCACTTGTTCCTGATGTGTATCTTGATTAGCCCTTCTCAAATATTTAGATGTATAGGAGTACATCTGCCATAATCCTCTGCCAAAATGGCCAGTTACCAGCATCTTGGGAAGGATGGACTTTAATCTATAGTTTTGCTTTTTTTAAAAAAAGCCTACTTTTTATTCTCAGCGCAAAGGCTGAATTGCTCCAAGCAACATCGGTTTTCCAACAGGAAAAAGAGCAGTATGACATGCAATTTAAAAATCAACACAAGGTAGGTAGGTTATTGTTCTTCCCACCTGGCACGATGTATTGCTGTTATCTCTTTCCACAGCCTTTATTTATGATTGGTTGTAAGGGTGCTGGAGCATACTGAAAGTAGAGCTCTTCAGTTATCCTGAACATTTCATTCACTTCAGTATTAGATTTTATCATATCATTGGCAAACACTTCTTACCCAGATGAATTTTCTCTAAATCCAGGACCTCCAAGACATGCTAGAAAAACACAAGGCCCAAAATGAAGCATGGCTCAAAGCCAGAGCTGAAGAAAATGACAAGGAAAGAAAAGAGCTCTACAGACTGAGGGTAAATATGAACAAAATGAAAGTGGGGAGGGGGCAGTAACTAGGAAAAGCATGAAGGTTTCTCTGTTCCATGACCTAAGATTTACTTTAGATTGCATACACAAAATATTTTTCTAAAGTAATATCCAACTGTTGATTGAACGGTTCTGCAATCCCTTTTGAACCAGATGCTAGTCTTATAAATACTTACTGGAGTTAAGTAAGGCAAATTATCATTTGTTTCCAGATGTTATCCATTTTGTGGAGCCTTCAGTGGTGCAATGGGTTAAATCCTTGTGCTGGCAAGACTGCTGACTGAAATGTCAGCCGTTTGAATCTGGAGAATGGGATGAGCTCCTGCCTGTCAGCTCCAGCTTCTCATGCAGGGACATGAGAGAAGCCTCCCATAGGATGATAAAACATCTGAGCGTCCCCTGGACAATGTCCTTGCAGACAGCCAATTCTCTCATACTAGAAGCAGCTTGCAATTTCTCAAGTCACTACTGACATGAAAAAAATCCATTCTGTGGGTGTGGCATGGTCTACTGATTTCCCTGTAGCTTAATGTCACAACCTGAGTGTCAGTATTTCTTTCCATATCCCTGAAGATAACATTTGAAGAAAAGTATAGCTAGACTGCTCGCTAACCTTTTCAGATTTTAAAGTTCCAGTGTGCCCAAATGTCTGCTCTTCTTAGCAGTATGTTGTATAGGTGCCAATATTATTTTACTTTGAGATCTTCTGTGGACCACATGAAAGATTTAGAGCAACTGACTGTGAGATATTTGTGTTTTTCACAAAGAACGTAGTGGTGGAGGGAATCTAGTTTTTACATAAAATTAAGAACTTGAAGCCAACGTTGTTGCTCACTTATTTTCCTGTACTCTAGAGCCTTTAAGTAATTTTTCTACAATTCAATAACAATAATAGAGCTGAGGTCTGCAGGGAGAAAATTGGGCAAATCAGGGAAGCTGTTGTCTCCCAGGTTTTGTGGAACTATGACTCCCAGCATCCCCTGACTTTGGGTTGCATTAGTTTGGTATAGAGGGATACACAATCCAATAAAATCTGGAGGACTGCAATTCCACTTACTTCCCATTAAACATCTAGAATGTAGCAAGGTAGGCATTGGGGGTTGGTTTTGCAGCTCTCTCCTACATGCTCTGTCTCTTGGAAAAACTACTAAAATATTTTCAAACTTTAGTTGGTTGATTCCACTAATACTGAGAGACAGCTGTAAAATATTTTAATATCAACAGAAAACTAAGAGGACTATGCTACTTACTCCTTCCTTTCACACACAACAGAGTTGTTGCTTGCTCTAAATAGAGCCCTATGTGCCCACTGTAATACAACATGACTTTACTATTGTATCTCCATTTCCACTACTTTCATTACAGTAGTATTATTGCCCTTAGGGATCCTCTGCACAGTTGGCATCACTAGTCTCTACATTTCTCTGGTGTTTGGGTACACCCACATTATGGTGAAGTTCGAGCCTTCGTCACTGAATTTTGAGGTCAGCAACAGTGACAGTCTAATGGATATTTTTTCCCCATCGTGCTTTTCACTCACTTGTTGTGTTACTAGGGGAAATTACCAAAAGAGATTCTTGCCCTATCCATCAGGAACCAACCCCCAGGATTAAACTACCAATAATAAACACATTTCTACTTCAAAAAAGCAGAGCAACCCAATTTAATGCATGCATCTTGTTTTTCTTTGTCCTTGCACTATGGAATGATCCGGGCAGAAATGCAGTGATGATTCACACAGTTCTGACTCACTGCATTAAATTGTTTTTAGAGAACGTAATTTGGTGTAGCCTGCAGCTTCTTGGAGCGTTTGTGGTTTTTAAAAAAAATGTCAAGGACTTCATGTTAACAACTGGTGATGTGAAAGTAATACATTTTTTAAAAAAATTGATTAGCAAACATTCATTTTTATTAAGTATCTCAGTTTAAGAAATCCTTAAATTCATTAAAATGGTTGGAATTCAATTAGAAAAATTAAAAAACAAACATAATGAAATCCTTTGACCCTCTTATTGTTTAATTAATTCAGATGAAAGAGGAGTCGGAGCAAGAGTTTTTGTGTGTTTTGTGTGCATGCTTTTCAGTTAGCTACTAGTATGATTTGAACAAAGTGCAAAATAACATGTTACACTTGCTGAAATGGCTTTTCCCTTGTTATAATAAATCTTTTAAAACGTATTTTTACCTTCAAGTGCTGAAAGCCAGTGTGATGTAATTGTCTGGGACTGTTGGACTTGGATAGGGAGAGTAGGGTCTGAATCTCGCTCAGTATGGAAACCCACTGGGTAACCTTGAACAAATCTCATTTTCTCAAAGGAAAGCAATGGCAAACCATCTCTGTACAAATCTTGCCAAGATAATTCTATAAATCTTGCCAAAATAACCCTATAAATACCTTGAAGGAAATTGTTAAGTTTTCATTTACAATGGCATCAGTGTTTTGTTTATTAATAATACTGGATGGCTATCTTCAGTTTTGTGGCTGCCACAAACTATATTGAATTGGTTGAGGCTCTCATTGAGAAACTATTGCAAAATAGGCTGCAGGATGTCTTGCAAAAACAAAGTTTTTGTTGTTTTATATTTTTTCCCATGTTTTTGTGATAGATCCAATTAGGAAATGACCTTTATAACCCAGGAACAAAAATGATGTTACATAATGTAATTGAAGCAAAAATCCTTTATCATCAGAGATGGAAGGAAGTAGTTTTCCAACTCAAGGAAATTAACTGACAAAGATCCACAAATTAGCATAGATGGAGAAACTGACTTTGCTGATTAAGGAGAAACCTTAGATCACCTTGAAGAAACATTGGAACAACTTTTTAATGGCAACATTTGGGGCATATGTCAAGTGTAAGATTTTTGAATTAGAATAGTGGTACCGAAGGCTGAAGTGTGCCTTTGGACAGTTTACCTGTCCTAACATATCTCCCCCTACGAACCAGCTCAAAGACTGTCTGGAGAGGCCCTGCTCTCGGTCCCACCTTCCTCGCAGGCGTGGCTGGTGGGGACAAGAGGGTATTCTCAGTGGTGGCCCCTCAGTTGTGGAACTCCCTCCCTAGCAATATTAGATAAGCCCCCTCCCTCCTAGCCTTCAGAAGAAGTGTAAAAGCCTGGCTCTGGGAACAGGCTTTTGAAAAATAGTGCAATATAGTAATTATGATGTGGATTGTATGCAACTGATTACAGAATGGCTTTAGACTTTGATCCCATATGACGTGTTTTAACATTGAGTATATTTTAATTATATTTACTATGTTATAATTTTAATCCAATTTACGTTTAAGTCAGTATTGTATGTTTTAAGGCACTGTGTAGATGCCACTTGTAAGCCGCCTTGAGTCCCCCTCGGGGTGGAGAAAGGTGGGATATAAATAAGGCAAATAAAGAAATAAACTCCATAATTGGGTCACCATAAGTAGATTTGTATGGATAAGTAGTATGGATATACTGATACGCAAGTTCTGTATGCACAAAGCTTCGTTCGATCTTTTTTTTAATCACCTCAGGAAAAAGCTCACCTCCCACCAACTAGTTCCTCCTCCTATTACTAAATCCTTCCCACGACTACACAGTGAAGCAGTGCCACCTGGAGGACTAACCATATGCCTAACAGTCCATCTTTTCTGTAAAACCTCGGGGTAAAAGGCACATTTTAAAAAAAAAATGAAAGCTTCCAAAAAACACATCACAAAGGAATGATCACAGATGAGTATCATTTTTAAGACTGGGTAGACAAGTCCATTTAACCTGATCCTGCCCAAGGCTACGAATATATTTACATTATAATATATTTACATTGTATGGCAGTGTAGATGCACATACTCCAGTTCGAAACAGATAATCTGTGACCAGATACTGGATTATATGGCAGTGTAAATCCAGTCAAAGAGGAAAAAGTAGGAATATCCTTATTTCTTTGATTCTAAAATACACTCCCCCCCCCCAATATAAACATATCTAAAAATGGAGTGCGTCTTCAAATTGAGGGTGTATCTATTCTGTTGATGATATTGAAATCACAGTAAATTTTACAATCAATGATGTTTTAGAATCAAAGAAATACAGTATCAGAGAGCAAATGAGTTTATAGGACTTGTTTGAGAAAATGCCATTGTTGTGTTTTATGGTTCATTCTTATAGCTTGTGAAATATAGCTAACTCTTATTTTATTTTATTTTATTTTTTTTCCACAGGAAGAGATTCTATATGATCAGGAAAGGTTGAGAGATGAACAGCAAAGCATTCAGCGGCACAACCAGCAGCTCCTTTCTATAATGCAGCAGTTCAAAGGAATGTGAACAGTTTGCTGAATAAAGCCTGGTCACATGTACTAGATCATAACAACAACACAGCACCCCTTGAACAACTGAGCTCTTATGTCTAGTGTAACAAAGCTCCCGTTACCATACAAAGTGAAGTTTGATCTCTCTAAGTTTCCATTCAGCCCGGGGATGAAGGCTCAATTAAATTCCCTTCCTCTTTTTAAAAACACTTCAGGCCTTTAATTCAGTATTCTTTTTTTTACACACACAAAAATCAAACATGTCTCTGTTCATATAAGAATGAAATTAATTTTAAAGTCTGACATGGTAAAAAGAAAAATCAGAATAAATGCAATGCTGTCCTTACACAATATATACTTTCATAATATATCCTTTTTTATATATAAAAAATTAAATATTTTGGGAAAATGGAGGATTCTTTTGTTAGGAAGCTACTTTGTCTTATTGGGCTTTTCCAGCTGGTGGACTGGAATGTATCATCATGAAAAATCTCTTCTCCATCCCTAAACTATATAATGGTGAAGTTTGAAAGTGTAACAGTAATAAATATTAAACAGAATATATTTGATTATGAAAGCAGACATGATGAGTGAAGTGAGATTTTTAATTCCTCTTCTTTGTAAATACCTTGGTATACCTGATCTGCATTGTGTGTTCTTAATTTTTGGTGGATGCTGGTACATTTTTTCTGCGAACTTTCAATTATGAAAATTTTCCTAGACATCCATTAAGATGTTAAATATTTGACTCATCTTTATATGTATGCATACATTCATATCTTGATCTGAAAGGATTAAATACATTGTGTTTAAAATATCATGGAAGAAATTATTCATGCTTCTTTCGTACAGACATTTTTTAAATTTATTTCAAACATTTATACCCCATCCTTCTCTACCCCTGAGGGGGGACTCAGGGCAGCTTACAATGGCAACAATTCGATGCCGGCAACATATAAAACATTACAGTAAAATATTACACAGTAAATAAAACATTAAATTAAAATCAATTTAAAACATTATTATTAGAGTAGAGGCAGGTTTTCAAATGGTCCGGAGACTTGGAGCTAATCCATTGCATGGAAAGGATATGGGGGAGGAAGACACTGTGCAAGGTGTACCCAACACAAAAGATGCCCACAACATCTGAAGACACCCATCCGTTTGGATGACCAAACAAGGGAACCATGTTTGGAAAGGACCTATAGCAGGCAATAAAGGACCCTTCTACACTGCCATATACAATTCAGATTATCTGCTTTGAGCTGGGTTATATGGCAGTGTAGACTCACTGGGGCCACAGTAGTGCAACAAGTTAAACTGTTGAACTGTTGAATCTGCTGACGTAAAGGTTGGTAGTTTGAAGCCGTATGTCAGGGTGAGCTCACACTGTTAGCCCCAACTCCTGCCAACCTAGCAGTTTGAAAACATGCAAATGTGAGTAGATCAACCCATACCTTCAGTGGGAAGGTAAAAGGCACCCATGCAGTCATGTGAACAACACAGCCAGAAGGTGTCTATGGACAACAGGTTCCTCAGCTTGGAAATGGAACAAGAGCATGTTTCCATGGCCAGAGTTGAGCACCATCTCCAGAAAGCCGGAGAAGAAAGGGGAAGCCTTTACCTTTGTTCTGTGTATTTGTATGTTATTGTTATTTCATTGCCAATTTCTTGTAAATTAATCAATGAAGAAAGTAAATCCTGGCTGATGTCTTTGTATATAATACACTACTCTGGTTTTAATATTTTATTAGGCTATTTTGAAAACCCATACATGGTAATACAAAAGGAAATCCCACCGTAACTTATAGAAGATAACTCTTTTTTATTGTTAGAGTCTCAGTACACAAAGAGTTTTACAAACTTTATTGCTTTAACATTAGAACAATCTAAAGATTATAAATAGGATAAGGCTGCTGTTCTTTTGCAACTGAGAAATGGTTAAGCAAAAGCCTGATTTTCTCAGTTTTTGTTAGACTTGCTTTCTCTGCATAGTGACTTTTGTAATTGCGTAATGGTGTTTTAAGTTTTATCTCTCCCCTCCCCCCCCCCTTCGGTTCCATACCTGTTACAATATCCTGTGTTTTAAAATGTGATTTTAAACTGTTTTTAAATAACTGCTTTACTGGAGAGTTGTCCCTCCCCTCCCAGGGCGCTTGTGCCCCGCTTTGTGCTGGTCAGTGACCGTAATAAAGTTTTGTACTTGTACTAATTTTTATTGGTTTATTTATTTATTTATTTATTATTTGCAGTATTTGTATACCACTCTTCTCAACCCCAAAGAGGACTCTGGGCAGTTCACAGTGTTGGCAACAATTCAATGCCATCAATAAAAAACAGTTTAAAACATCAAAATTGACCCTTCCCTGATAAAACATTAAACACATCACATAAAATAACATCACTTATCACACAAAGACATAGCCATTGCAATTTCAATTTTCTCTTTAACTTTAAATATCCCTATGATGGGCCAAATGCTTGGTTCCACAGCCAGGTCTTTAGTTGTCTCCTAAAGGTCAGGAGGGAGCAGGCCGACCTGATTTCACTTGGGAGGGAGTTCCACAGTTGTGGGGCCACCATTGAGAAGGCGCTGTCTCTCATCCCCATCAGCCGCATCTGTGAAGCCAGTGGGGCCAAGAGCAGGACCTCCCCAGATGATCTTAATTTATGAACTGGTTCATAGATTTTGAATCTAATAATTTTAGCAAATACAGATACATAGATTGAAACGGCAGTGAAACTGCCAAGAGTAAGCATCCTTAGTGGGATTTGCATCTGGGTGTGTTAAATCAAACTGTTAAGAAAAATATCAGTTTTAATATCACCATCTTTTTAAAGCAGTGAATAAGGTCCTTTTAGTTAGGAGGGGAAAGAACTGGTGACATACAGATTTATGAAAGGAGCTATTGACATATAGAGCTGATGAGTAGGCTTTATCAGGCAGGGAGCAAATGTAAGGATTTCTAGCCAGAGAAGTAATGTCGTTACCATGGAATTCCAACTATTCCTGCACCATAACTCTATACTAATATTAAAACATGGAGGGGTGTTTTTAGTGTCATTTAAGTGCAAGTCCATCATTCTGCAGGAATATGAGATTGCTTTCCCCTAGACATCAACAGAAAGAACTTAGTCTGCCATCTCATCAGTATTCAGTGGTGAGACCTTAAAGCTATATAGCTTAAAGCACTTTCCTTGGATATGTATGAATACCAAATTCCAACTAGCATGAAATATGGTTGCTATAGCACTTAGCCCCCCAAATTGAAAAGGCCTCTATTCAACCTCAGTTAGCATCATGCTGTTTAAATCTTGGGAAATTTCAAAATGAACTTTCCAGTTAACAAAATATTTCTTAATATATTTTCCCTTGCTTGTCTTACAGGCATAATTAGGATGTAGATATTTAGCAGATCCCAAGGCATGAATTTCTGTCAGAAACACTTAATTGTTCAAAGTCTAGGTCTCTGTCTTCAGTCATAGCTGAACATTTTCTCTCATATTTCCATGTGTTCAAGTTATATTAAAAAACTGAAGTTACTATGTGCACTATGTAAGCTATTTGGCAGTCTTCTTTTTAAGTGTTTAGAACAGCAACAGATAGATAGGACCTGCCACATCAGTTCATTTATCCGGTAACTTGGCTGTACTTTACATTGTATAGTACTGTACAAAAGGGATGGAAACCTTTGAAAATTCTATTCTTCTAGGGAAGATGACATCATTTTAAGATTTTTCTATTTCCTGCAAGGAAAAAAAATTGTTTTTAAGACTATTCACAGTTTGAGACGTACTTTGTCAGAGAAAATGCACATGGCATATTTATGGAGTCAAGTGGCATTTTCTTGCAGAACTGTGCTGTTTTCTGCACAGAAGTGCCATGTTCATTTTTCATATGGAATAAGTCCTAAACTGATTTACAGTACTTGAGAAACTTGGTTTTTGTTTGTTTGTTTGTTTTTAAAAACCCTTTGAACAGACACATGTGTGCGCACACCCACACTTTTGAATATCCTTTCCACTCTGGCTGTACAAATTAACTGCACAGGAGTTTCAGACAATAACCAGTTTTAATAAACATCTAACTATATTGTAATGTTAGTATACAGTGGAATCGTACAATTCATAACATTTCATACAGAGGAAAAATTGTGATATAATGAACAACAATTAGTGCTTGTCATACTTTCCTTTTTTCATGCAAATCCATTATTTTTGACATGTCTTTTGATGCCTGCCAGAATTTACTGCCAAAATATTTTGCTAATGGACCACTGATCTAGCATGACAAGTAGATCCACAGAGAAGGAAGAAGATAAATATACTATATATATAGTAGCCTGCATATTATGTGAGAGATCTGTTCTTTGTGTAATATGATTTTCACATAACATCTGAAACCCTCCCTAGGCCAGTATACCATGGAAAATACCGCACAAGATAGTTAAAATAACCTCCTCCCACGAATGTGCTGCCCCACAGAGGGAAGTGTAGCTGAAGGGAAGATTTGTACACTGGGGTGCAGTCTGCCCACAATGGTGGGAAGCTGCTTGTGCCCTACATCTGTCTCAACTGAGCAAGGAGTCCATCTCTTTCGTCTGTGGAGACAAGCAATGAAAATCAGCCCCGCTCCCCCAAAAAAGAGAGTCCATTTCCTTCCTCTGCTGAGAGAAGCTCTGCTATGTTTCTCTCCCTAGAGAAAAAGATCCCTTTTCTTGGCAATCAGAAACACAGCCAGGTTTCAATCACCTGTATCTGTAAAGGGAGGAAATTGGCTCCTTTTGTGGTGAACAGAAGTGCAGTTGGATTTCTGTCACTTCTCTATAGAGGAAAAAGACAGGCTCCTTTCTCGGTAGAGAGAGGTATATGGCTTCATACAGTTGGACTTCTCAAGAAATTTGACATCCGGTGAGGGAGCTGCTTTGAAGGGCTAGTTACAGGTAGTCTTGTCCCCACTGCCCTTATTTCATCTGCAGGGTTTTTAAAAATGTATATATGCACACACATAACATGAATTCACATAATATGTCAACATTTGTTCTTGTCAAATAAATCCCTTTCTTCTTGCACAAATGTAATATGTGGATCCTCTCACATTTCTGAACCCACTTTTTTATGCCCTCTGTTTACAATATCCTTATGAAGAATGAAAAGTAATATTACCCTGTGTGGATAACAAAAGCATGGGGGGGGGGGATGTATCCATATTCCAGTTCTGACTCGGAAATGGGAAGTAAACCTTTCTTGCTATCAACCAGCTTAAAGAAGTGATGCAAAGACTCATCCCTATAGTTGCTGTCCCTTGTAATAATAATTTTAAAAACCTATTCGCAAGTTCTGGAGCTCTTGTCTAAATATGTGCCTATATTTGTGTTGAGAGAGAGACACACAGAAAAAGCTTTGGAAAAGGAATTTCTTCTACTGTGCTCCATCATTTTCATTATGCAAGAGTCATTGTGCAATGAAGATTTGAGCCACAAAACAAATCTTGTTCTACTAGTCAAGCCATTTGTTTTGGTGACTGAACATGTACATTACAGGACTTTCATTGAGTGTCCTATATCTGAGGCCACAAGACTCAAGAAACGTTAACCTCGGCACCATGACAGCTGCTGGCTTTCCTTTCCATAAAACAGTAAATCTGCCTTATGTTTTACTCCAGATTTTAAAACAAGTATCCAAAATGTTGAATGTATTTTGAAATAAAAATTCATGACCTGAATAGTTCTGTTATAGTTCAGACTAAAACTCGGAGTGAATTTACCCTCCTACTCACATGGAAACAACCATGATTAACCAAAAGTAAATTTAATGTAAATGTAAGGATTAAGATCCACAATACAACCAGATATCTTCAGAGAAGTGTTGTCTATAAATCTTCAAACCATGTGCCCTGTAGCAAGTGTGCTGAGGAATTGGGAAAACATTACTAAAAAAGCTGTACTTGTGATATATGGTGAGGTGCTTAATAAGCTTCACTGAAGAGCTGTAACTATGATAGCAATACAACTATTTCTAGAACTATGAATTTGTTTTTAAAAACTTCACTAGTAACAAGAAACAGTAATGATTTATCACTATTATTCACAGCATTTTCAGGCTTCAAGAAGTTAGTTCATGCGGAAATTAAACATATTGAAACACCGAAAAAAATCCAAAATTGAACAAAGTTATAATACACTTACCTCTCATAGAAGAAGCTATCAGAATGTGCTATTATGAAGTCATGTGCGCAATTGTGAAGGTGACCCATATTTAGACAACTATAACCAAATTCATAGTTATTATTTACAGGTGGTTTAATAACCGAGTTACCTAGTCAGTAGAAAGTTAATTAAAGGAACAACTCAAATAAACCACAACATGAGTAAGATAAGAAACATACCGATTGGAAAATTAACAAATTATCAACTCATAAAGTATACAAAACCCACAAAAAGAGACCCCCATCACCATGACAGAATCAAGATTTCAACATCAAGTCTTACTATATATATGAGACATTAAGAGAGCCAGAGGGTCTAATGGACTAAAATGTAGATTTAATGCATTGATATTGTTATTAAGTGCTTTTCCTGAATTTGACCACCAGTTTTTATTGCTGTGGATTTAGCAATTACAGCAGCAGCAGCAACTTTAATTATTTGACAAAAGCTTATAGCTCTTTGATTTGCAGTATGCATTCCTCAAAACTATAATCCCACCTACGGAGGAAAAACACCAAATCAAGAAGGCAAGGCTGTTATTGAGGAACAATCTACTACATGACAGGACAAAATCAGAAAATAGCAGAACGCCACTAATTCTCACCTAAACCCCCAGCTGTGACTACTTGAATGCATCATCAAAAAGCTACACCAGTTCTAGAGAATAATATAACCTTCTCACAGTAGCTGGGAGGCAGGCTTCCCAACCTTAAACAACTGCTCTCATCAAGAACAGAATACATAACATGACTCTGCCACATTACCCATAATGTCAGGGACACATTTACTTGCTCATTCATCAATGTGATGTACCATATTTACTCGAATCTAATGCTCACCTTTTTTTGACTAAATTACATTCCCAAAATTAGGGTGCACATTAGATTAGCGTAACATGGTGATCTTCATGCTGAGCCAAAGCAAAAAGGGAAGATACTTCAGGGGCACTTAGAGCAGTAGTTCTCAACCTGTTGGTCCACAGATGTTTAGCTGTCAGTT